TGCGACCGCCTGCTTGAAGGGTCGAGAAGTTAGCAGGCTCTTCTGCTGGTACAACTTGAAGCGCTTCGCCGTGCGGAAGTCGGATGCGTTCTCCACTTGAAGCACCTCGAAACGCCCTGAGATGAGGTTGAGAGCGTGCGAGATGAGTTCGAGTCCGCCCGTTGGGTTTCCGCGCTGCGCCTTATATTCCGCGTGCAGCAGGTACGCGCGTAAGTCTTCCAGCAGCTCCGCTTGCTCTCGCACGGAGTCGTTGACGAATGTTGCCGCCGAGAAGGTGAGGTTAGAAGAAGGGAGGGGGGGAAGGTGTTCCGTGCCATTAAAATTAACATTGTTGACTGGAGCCTCACCGGCGTCATCTTCAGAGTCGTCGGTGTCGTTGTCGACCGCTGGAGCGGGGGGTGCTACTGCTGCTGCGTCGTTGTCGTGCCGAATGGTCCTTGCTCCTCGCGCGCCTTTTTCCTTTTTCGCATTTTCTTTTTTAGCCGACGCAGATGCAGCGGGTAGTGCAGTTTCCGCAGCTGTAACGCTGACGGGCTGCTGCTGTAGAAGGGACAGCAGCGCGTTGACCTGGTCCGGGGTCAACGCAGGGGCGGTCGTCGCGTCAGACGAGGAGACCGCCGTCCGCCTCCTCTGGCGCTGACGCGACGGTCCAGCCGCGGGTGCGGGCGTGTGCCACGCCCGCGGCCGTCGCCACTTGTGCCGAAGGTGCCACTAGCGCCACAGGCACCTCAGGCGCCACTGGCGCCACTGGCGCCGAAGGGTGCTGCTGGGCGTTGGCCGAGTTGTTGACCTCGAGCCCGCCCAGCAGCACGTCCACTGCAGTCGGGGCGGGCGGTCCATCTTCTGCCCGTCGCTTGTTACGGCGTTCACCCGCCAAATCGCGGGTGTTACGGTCGTTGTCGGAGGCGGGGTTGGACGAGTTTCCGTTGTTAAGTGTCGGCGTCGGTGCCATCGTTGAGCGATTGAAGTTAAAAATATCGTTGAGTAAGGTCGAAGGTGACTCGCCTCTAGGAAGTGATTTTGTTCTAGCCAGCTTGGACGGAGGGATAAACTACGTGAGCAGAAATGTTGAGTGAGCCGTTGGAAAATCGAGAAGCGTGGGTGGAGGGAAATGAACTCCAACCCACGGTTTTTGTAGTTGGAGAAGGGCGTTTAGCGCGCTTCGACGATGCCAATTGTGCAGTACAAGCAGCTTCGCTTTCATAATACACAATTTTAAAAAACACAATGTGTGTTTAAAATTTATAATTTGTTGTGAACGAGGATTGTGAGGAAGAAACGAGCATCAGGGGCCATTTTTGGTTTCAGAGCACCCTTAAGTATCAGGGTACCAGGGTGACAGCACCCTGACTGCCAGGATGATGTTTCCTCCACCCTGTCCACGCAAGAGTAAAAAATTCTGCACACTGTTTGTGTAAGGGTGTTTTCCTGAAGTTTGCCATATTACCCTGTTTCATGTGTAGGCGCACTAGAGTAGCCATACTACCGTAAGCCCCCGGATAGACGCGCAGGCCTCGGATAAGCGTCGGCGCTTATAAAAGGATGAGGGCGCTTATATCCGGTCCTCGATTGTAAGCGCACCCCCTAGAAAAAGATGATATATTATAAGCGCATGTTTCTTTTTCATTTGAAAACCTTTCAAACTCAGAAACGAATTTCGCATTATCAGGGAAACGAACTACAATTTCGATTTCCCACACTCTGAACTCACTTTTTGCTCGTCTAGTCAGCATGTGTTGTAATTTTGTCAGGGTGAGCTGGCAGGGAATCACTCCCTGCCAATCTGCGCGAGAATCAGATTCGCGACCCTATATGTTTTTTACTCGATTACAATCGGCAGAACGAGATATACAGCGTGGTGTAAAACAAGTATATATTCTTTTTGCCATTTTATAAGCGCCGACGCTTATAAAATTCCTCAATTATAAGCGCACCCCCGAAAAAACAATGTTTTTTTATATCCCAAGGGGCGCTTCTATACGGGGGCTGACGGTATGCCTTCCATTAAGTAACAACGATTACATAGGGCCATGAATTCACCTACAACTACAACTACATAATAGGATAAACATTATTCTAAACATTGGGGCCTTGCTCCCCCCTACTGTCTACAAACTCCAGCGCTCCAGGAATCATGCCCGAGAAGTCCCTAACGGGGCGCCGGTTCTTCTCTCCCCGGAAAACAGCGACGACATCAAACCAGTCTACCTGGTAGTTAAAGAGGGAGCGGCGCATGAGGGCTCGAAGGCTAGCATCGCCAATGGTGCCCCGTCTGTCAGAATCCCAACCACTAGACCATTGGGATAAAAGGGCTTGTTTCAGTAGCGGGTGAGTGCGCCCATAACCCTCCAGACGAACGCGCCTGTAACCCTCTCCAGGATCAATCGGGCATCCACAGTGCAGATCTACTGACACCCCCCACACTGGGATGCCCACGACTAAGCACAGAGGCAACGGCCTACATGTGCATACATCGGGAATCGAACCCGAGACCGCTCTGATACCATGTCAGAATCCCAACCACTAGACCATTGGGATAAAAGGGCTTGTTTCAGTAGCGGGTTAGTGCGCCCATAACCCTCCAGACAAACGCGCCTGTAACCCTCTCCAGGATCAATCGGGCGTCCACAGTGCAGATCTACTGACACCGTCCCCACGTCTTAATAAGGTTTTGCTTTGAGAATCCCCTCTCGCATTCAACAGTGCTGAGAGGAAGAACGGTCACTGCCTGCCACAACATCATGATGTTGGGGAATGCACGACGCCAGGTGTCGTCATCACGAAGGGTGTTGGAGGGTGCTTGGTGTAAGTCTTCATTGTGGTGCTGTAAGTGCATCGTTGACGTGAACATCCATAGCTCCGCCATTGCCTTGTTGAGATCGAATCTTGAAGGATGTGCATACAGGCGATCCAGAACAACACTCCGGACGGATGGAATGGGACGGCGGAGAGACAAGATAAACAATTTAAGGATACATGCTGACAACATAACAAGACGTCCTGCTGGCACCTTAACAACCACATCCCTGCAACATTAGGAATGCATAACAGATAGAAACAGAACGAGTGTTAACAAACCAGGACGTTTCCCGTGGAAGAGTGCAGCCAGATGCTTCAGCCACTTGTTGAATGCAGGTAGGTCTAGGACAGGAAGAGCTTGGTGCCTTCTAGATTTTGCAAGTCTGCCATCCGCTCCGCCAGCTGACTGTTGATACCAGTGGCGAACTTCACAGCAAGGGCGTAGTACGCCTCCAAGTCGCCATTCGTTGTGTGGCATTCGAGTCGCCTCTCATGAAAGCGAAACACGGTTCAAGCAGGGTTCCCGTCAGCATCGATGCTATCAGCACGCATTGTGCGAGTGTCGACTGAAGCATGCCTCTCCAAAAAGTCCGATAGCTGCATCTTGTCTCTTTGCCCATACACGTGGCCATGTGGCACATCGATGTACCGCAGAATGATGCGAATGTGAGTTTGCACCACGAGGTGCGCAACCAGGGTCATGTCCACCTGTGGTTGAGAAGCAGAAAGGGAAACCAGCGGGGGTTTGTTAATCGCAGAGATTCATATTACATCCACCAGACACCACGGCATAGGCCAAGCACAAGCCGTTTCGGCGGTACCTCACCTGGCGCACTTGAAACCTCGTGTTCAAAGGGTTGAGCTTGGTTAGGATGTCCGCGAGAAATCAAAGAAGGAACTGAAAGTTGAAGGAGGTTTGCGGAGATAACTACTACAACGGGAGCTAGACTATGGGCTAGGCACGGGTGCTCGTGTGATCTTTGCGTTCTTTGGTCCTTAGTCATTTTCCTAGTGCACACACAGCTAGCTAGTTCACGGGGAGAATTGGCAAGAGTTTCACTAGAGAAGGTTGACAACAATCGTACAATGAAGTTGGCATGGCAAGACTACATCAGAGCCAGCATTCAAGTCAGTCGACTGCCAGCGCAGCATGGCCGACCGCATTCCAGCACGACTTGGTCGACCGCGCTCCAGCTGTGCAAAGTCGACGGCGTGCCAATGTCCCAGGTTGACGGCGTGCCACTGTTGCTCACGCAGAACAGCAGTGCACCTGTCAGAACATTTTAGCTTATACATTTGTGTAGGCTGTAATGGGGTAGCCCATAAGGGGTACAACCCAATTAGGGTTAGCACTTGTACCCAACTGTTTCATAGTTCATCCATCCATTCTCACTTCTCGTCATGGTATCGAGCAGGTTCCCGAGTGGGAATTCTGCCTAGGGCCCACCACGTATTTTTTTTCCTTCCCTGCCCGGAGCGCGCTTAGCTCCTAACCCGAGTAGCGCCCCGAGTCGCCTTAGTGGCCCCTTTTACCCGTTGGCCCCGTCGGCCCCACTTAGGCCCCATCGGCCCCACTTAGGCCCCGTCGGCCCCGCTAAGGCCCCGTCGGCCCCGTTGTGGCCCCACTTAGGCCCCGTTGGCCCCACTTAGGCCCCGTTGCGGTCCCGCTACAGCCCCGCTACGGCCCCGCTACGGCCCTGTCGGCCCCGCTTAGGCCCCGTCGACCCCGTCGTGGCCCCACTTAGGCCCCGTCGACCCCACTTCGGCCCCGCTGCGGCCCCACTACGGCCCCGCTACGGCCCCTTCGGCCCTGTCGGCCCTACTACGGCCCCACTTCGGCCCCATCGGCCCCGTCGGCTCCTCTTAGGCCCCGCTGCGGCCCCGTCGCCCACTTCGGCCCCATCGCCAACACGGCCCCGCCCACCCTTGCGGCCCGAACCGCCGGCCAGCGGAGCCTCTCGAGCCGCCCAGCAACCCAGCCGCCTGACAGCCAAGCCGCCCAGCAGCTGAGCCGCCCTGCAGCCGAGCCACCCAGCAGCCAAGCCGCCCAGCAACCGAGCCGCCCTGCAGCCGAGCCGCCCAGCAGCCGAGCCACCCTGCAGCCGAGCCGCCCGACAAGCGAGCCGCTGAGCAGCCCGATCGCTCCACCTACCTGGTAAGAGCACAGTCTCTGCCACTACACTGCCCTGCCTACTGCTGTTATGGCTTCTCCTAGCGTTCTCACCTTTGACGCTAAGGGTCGGGCAGTGGACTTTGAGGTCTGGGTAGATAATCTCAAGCTTTTCCTGCAGTGCGAAAGGGCAGATGGCCTCTCCCTGTTTGACCTCACTTCTGGTGCCTCCCCTGCCCCTACTGCTAATGCTGACGCCACTGTTCGCTCACAATGTGCCACACGTGACGCTACTGCTCGCCTTGCTGTGCGCCGCCACTTACCGACCACTGAGCGTGCACACTTTAGCCAGTACAAGAGTGCTCAGACCTTGTACGACCCTGTAGTTGCACGCTACTCTTCCCCTGCCACTACTGCACTGAGCCGCCTCATACTACCGTACCTCTTCCCTGACCTTGCTGCCTTTCCCACTGTCGCTGACCTCATTACGCACCTCCGCACTAGTGACACTCGCTACTGCACTGCGCTTCCTGCTGAGTTCTGCGCCAAGAACCCCCCCCTAATGTACATCACCCTCTACTACCTAGTCACCCGTCTCCCTGACTCTCTTCGCGTAGTCAGGGACCACTTCCTCTCTGTTTGCCCCACCACTCTCACCGTTGACCTCTTCGAGAAGGCCCTCCTAGCGATAGAGAAGAGCATAGTCGCTGTAGGAGCCTCTCTTGGTGACCCTCGCACCCCCGTCTTTGAGGGGTATTCTCCCTCCCCCCTCTTGCCCTCTGTCGCCTCTTCTGCTGCGGCCGACCTCGTTGGTTTCGAGTCGGTCGGCGCAGCGTGTGCCCCGAGCGGGAGACGCCGCACCGGCAAGGGCAAGGGGGGCAAGGGCACTGGAGGGGGTGGAGGGGGCGGTGGAGGTGGTGGTGGAGGCAGTGGAGGGAGTGGGGGTGGTGGTGGGAGTGGTGCCGGGGGTGGAGGCCGCGACGGCAGCAGTGGAGGCGGTGGAGGTGGCGGAGGGAGCGGAGGCGGCGGAGGTAGTGGAGGAGGCGGAGGTGGAGGAGGCGGCACACGAGGCGGAGGCGGCGGCGGAGGCGGCGGCGGCGGCGGTGGCGGACGCGGCGGTGGTGGGGCGAGCCGAGGAGTGGCGCCGGTGGTGGTCAGCGCCAGCAGCAGCAGCGGAGTGGTGTGACCATGTCCCCTAAGCAGCTTCGTGAGTGGTACACTGCACGCCAGCGCGGTGGGAGTTTTGGTCCCTGCTCTTACATTCTCCGTACCGGCGACCGCACTAGTGAGCAGTCCGGAGGTCCGCACTCCACTCAGCGCTGCTTTGGTCGCCTGACGGACGCGTGGCGTCGCCAGTTTCCTGAGGCGTGAGAGATCCCTCGTTGGGGAGATCTGGCTAAGGCCGGGGTTGCTATCTTTGATCTTGACTTTGATGCTATTTTTGCTGTCATGTATGCAGTTGCTGATCGTGTTGAGGGTGCCTGTTACCTATGTGTACCACATGACCCAGGCATTTAGGCTACTGCTCTAGGTGCTGGTGAGGCTGCTGCCTTAGGTGCTAGTGCGTCTGCTGCCCCAGGTGCTGGTGAGTCTGCTCTCTAAGGTACTACGTCGGCTCAGGCCTTCCACACCTCCACCCTGGACTCGGGTGCGTCCCGCTCCTTCTTTCGAGACCGCACCACTCTTACGCCGCTTAGTCGGCTGGTTGCAGTCTCCCTGGAAAACCCCTTTAGGGGTCCTGTCCTTGCTAGCTTCTCCACTGTCCTTTTGTGCCCTGCAGCCCCCTGTGGCACCCTGTCTGGTCTGTACCTCCCCTCGTTCTCTATGAACTTGGTGAGTGGAGCGGACACACAGGATCGAGGGGTTGACCAGTTCAGTCCTGCGAGTCAGCGAGTGACCCACTGCATGTGTGCTCGGACAGACCGACACTTGACCATGTTCACTCGTCGGCCAGGGTCGAGCCTGAACACCCTTACTGCTGAGTCTCCCCTTACTGCTAAGTCTGCCAAGATAGCTGCATCGAGTCAGGTGTTTGCTCCGGCGTCCAGGTCTGGTCCCGAGTGTGCCCCCTGCTCGTGTCGTCTGCTGTCCCACCAGACTCTCCTTTGGCACCACCGCCTTGGTCACCCCTCCTTGCTTTGTCTCCGAGGCATGGCCTCCCGTGTCCTTGTCTCTGGTCTTCCTCGGTCTCTCCCTCCCCTTCCTCCGAGGCCTGGCCCTACCTGCGTCCCCTGCGTCGAGGGGCGACAGCGCGCGGCCCCTCACTCCTCCGAGTTTCCTCCGACAGAGGCTCCGCTGCAGACTCTACAGATGGACGTGTGGGGCCCAGCCCGCGTCAGTGGGTTACGTCACTGAGGTGTTGATCGACTGGATCCGCGCAGCTCCTCTCCAGCTGAGAGAGAGTTTCGGCTCGGACTTTCCTGTTCTGGGTCTGCACTCGGACAGAGGCGGGGAGTTTTCCTCTGCCCGTCCGGGAGCCTTCTGTCGTGCACAGGGCATCCACCAGACATTCACGCTTCCGGCCTCTCCACAGCAAAATGGGATTGCTGAGCGCCGCATTGGCATGGTCATGGACGTCGCTCGTACGTCGACAATCCGTGCGGCTGATCCCCATTTTCTGTGGTCGTTTGCGGTTCAGTACGCCGCGCATCAACTCAACCTTCAGCCCCGGGTCTCCTTGCCAGAGACCTCCCCCGCCTTGCGGTGGACAGGGAAGGTTGGCGATGCGTCTGCGTTTCGGGTCTGGGGATCTAGGGCGTTTGTCCGCGACTTGTCTGCGGACAAGTTGTCCCCCCGTGCTGTTCCTTGCGTCTTCTTGACTTCCCCCCCGACGCGCCTGGTTGGCGGTTTTACCACCCCACCACGCGCCGTGTTCTGTCCTCCCAAAACGTCACCTTTGACGAGTCGGTGCCTTACTACGGTCTCTTCCCCTACCGCACTGCGCCCCTCCCCCCGCCGCCGCTCTTCCTTGCGCAACGTGCCACCCAAGTAGACCTCCTCCCTCCTCAGGGTCCTGCCCCGTCAGGTGTATCCCAGGTAGATGCAGTCAAGCATGTCGAGGTAGCTGTTGACTCTAGTGCTACTAGAGGTGCTGAGCCTGCGGGTGCCGGGTCTGCGGGTGTCGGGTGTGGGGGTGTTGAGTCTGGGGGTACTGAGATTGGGGGTGCTGAGACTGGGGGTGCTGAGCCTAGGGGTGCTGAGCCTGGGGGTGCTGAGCCTGGTGGTGCTAGGTCTGCTCATCAGACCGTGAGCGGTGCTTCGTCGAGGTGGGAGCCGCTCTCTCCACAGGAGCTGCGCGAGTGGTTCGCTCGCCGCTGGAGACGTGCTCCTGAGTCTGGGGGTGCTGCTGGAGCTACTGGAGTTGGTCCTGCTGGAGCTACTGTTAGTGCTGGTGCTGGTTGAGGTGGAGCTGCTGGGGGTGTTGGCGCTGGTGTTTCTACTGGTGCTGGTCCGTCTGGGGGTGCTGCTCAGGCAGCTGGTGCTGACGGTTCTACTAGAGTTGGAGCTGCTGAGGGTGTTGGCGCTGGCGGTGCTGCTGGCGGTGGTGCTTCTAAGGGTACTCGAGTTGGCGCTGTTGGAGCTGGAAGTTTTGCTGGCGCTGGTGCTGCCGCTGGGGTTTCTAGTGCCGTCCTTGCTGGTTCTAGAGGCGCTGCGTGGCCGAGTCCGTACATCGTTCCCCTCCTGGAGCAGGTTCTTGGTCTCCCTCCCTCTACTAGTCCTGCTCCCCCCTTAGAGTGCCCACAGCCTGTCCAGTCGCAGTCACAGTTACAGCCCGCCTCCCCGCTACCTGCTCCTTCTCCATACACTGGTCCTACTGGAGGTCTTGCTCAGCGTGATGAGTCTGCATCTCGTCCTGCGTCGCTTGTTCGTGCTGCTCGCACTAGTGGTCGTACTACGCGTCCGCGTCCTCCTACAGTCCCCGGCATACACCATATGGCACATCGTCTGTCCATTGCTCCTCTGCGTGTCCCTTTGCTGTCTCCTCCAGAGTCCTCTCTTCCTTCTCTTGCTGACTCGGAGTCCGACTCCCTTAGTGCTACTAGTCCTTCGGTCACGCGCCTTCTTGCTACTGTTGTCACTGACCCTTCCTTTGAGTCCAGTGCTGCGTCTGCTCTAGTTGCTGAGCTTGTCGACTTTGCTGCTCTTTGTCGTCTAGACTACGCTGCCAGACTTGTTGCTCAGTCTGAGTCTGACTGTCCTCCGTCCGTCGGGGGTGAGTGTGCTCTTAGCACGGACGTCCTTAAGGACAGGCAGGAGGAGTTCCAGTGCTTTGCGGCTACTTTGCCCCATCTCGTGTTCACGCTGATTGCCCCTGAGGGAGACCCGTATGCACCAGACATCCCCACTCCTGGATCGTACGCTGAGGGGATCGAGGGTCCCTACTCCTCTTAGTGGCAGTCAGCCATGGACGAACATCGTCAGTGGGATGTGGATCTTCACAGTGTAGCGGCCGCTTGGCTCGCCGCCTGTCTTCAAGGCGCGTTACGTGGCTCAAGGCTTAAGTCAGCGGCAGGGAGTTCACTACTTTCATACCTTCTCTCCCACTCCGAAGATGACCACTCTTCGGGTGCTGCTGCACATAGCCGCTCAGCGCGACTACGAGCTTCACTCTCTTGACTTCAGCACAGCTTTCCTGCAGGGCAGCGTGCACGAGGAGATCTGGCTGCGCCGCCCTCCTGGCTTTACTGGGTTGTTTCCTCCTGGTACCCAGTGGAGCCTCCGACGGCCAGTCTAGGGTCTCCGCAAGGCGCCCCGTGAGTGGCACGACACACTGAGGACTACACTTGCGGCTCTTGGGTTTGCTCCTTCTAAAGCCGACCTGTCGCTGTTTCTAAGCACCGACACCTCTTTGCTGCCCTTCTACATCCTCGTGTACGTCGACAACTTGGTCTTTGCGGCTGCTGACACTGCTGGACTCGCCCACGTGAAGTTAGAGCTGTAGAAGAGACACGCGTGCACAGACCTGGGTGAACTACGCAACTACCTTGGCTTGCAGATCACCCGGGACAGAGCACAGTGCACCATTACCTTGACTCAGTCACACATGGTGCAGCAGGTCCTTCAGCGCTTTGGCTTCACGTACTCCTCGCCTCAGGCCACTCCTCTGCCTACTCGCCACTCGCTCTCAGCTCCGCCTTCGGATGAGTCAGTAGAGTCGAGTGGCCCGTACCCAGAGCTTGTTGGCTGCCTCATGTACCTGATGACCTGCACACGACCTGACCTGTATACCCTCTTAGCATCTTGGCATGCTAGGAGACACCGACCAGAGCACATGGCTTCAGCGAAGAGGGTGTTGAGCTACGTGTGCAGTTCGTCGGGCATGGGGCTTGTGATTGGAGGGCGACGTCGAGTGGTCCTCACAGATCACGATGACGCTTCTTGGGCTGACGACCAGGCTCTGCAGCGGTCGTCACAGGGTTACACCTTCAGCCTTGGCTCCAGCTCTGTTTCGTGGCGGTCTACCCGCTCGTCTTCTGTTCTCAGCTCCAGCTGTGAGGCTGAGATCTACGCAGGGACCATGGCTGCACAGGATCTACGCTGGCTCACCTACCTGCTAACTAACCTAGGAGAGCCGCCTCATTCTCCTCCAGTTCTGTACGTAGACAACAAGGCCATGCTGGCCTTGTGTCGGGAGCACAGACTGGAGCACAGAACGAAGCACATTGCTCTCCGCTACTTCCTGGCTCGTGAGCTGCAGCAGCGTGGTCAGCTCCGCCTCACCTACGTGGCCTCTGAGGCCAACACTGCTGATATCTTCACCAAGGCCCTTCCGCCTTGTGATCATCAGCGTTTCTGTACTGTGCTAGGTCTTGTGCCTACCTGGCCTCACTTGTTCACTTCTTGATCTTGTTTGTACTTCATTCTTTGTATACCTGCCCTTGCTTGTTTTACCTTTATATATATGTTCTTGCATGTGAACTGGCCTTGTGGCCCTACTCTTGTGCTCGGACTGTGTGGTGATTTTGTGATCCACCCTGAGCTTGCTTTGCTTTGCTTTGGTTGGTTGGTCTTGTGACCACTTGCTCTCCCCCACTTTGCAGATAGGGGTGTGTCAGAACATTATAGCTTATACATTTGTGTAGGCTGTAGTGGGGTAGCCCATAAGGGGTACAACCCAATTAGGGTTAGCACTTGTACCCAATTGTTTCATTGTTCATCCATCCATTCTCACTTTTCGTCAGCACCCGCTTCGCAGGTG